ATCGGTTTATGGTTTTGCTAGAAATTTTGTAAAAGCAACGGGCATGCTACTCGTAGAGTTGCGAGTTGGATCGAAAATAAGAACTACCGTGTTTTTTATAATCAATACCAAACCTTTCTTCAATGCACTATTGGGAAGGGATTAGATTCATCTAAACTCGCACATACCGTCATCACTCCATCAAAAACTTGTATTTTATAATTTTGAATTTTTTAAAATTGTTTGTGCGAGATATCGATCAAGTGCAAATCCAATCCAATGTCATCGAGACGGGGATTTTCGAGGAAAAGTTGATCCCTTTCTCATATGGGAATGTTTGTTTCCATCAGAAACCACACCCATCATAGAGGAACCCATCATATCGGATTTCAACATACAATCCCTCATCTTTTCTCCTATACCATCAAAACATGATAAAATTGAGGAGATATCGGAACATGAGGGTGTATCGGAACAAAAAGAAGGAAAACGAGTTGTTAGAATCGGTTAGGGTTGAAAAAATGCGATGGAAAATGTTTCGATGAAAACTCGTAACGCCCTAAAGAGGTGGAAAAAAACATCGGAGGTGATGAAGAGGTGCGAGTATGATGGCATGGTATCCTAAGCCACAAAAGAGTCTCATATTTGAATGATGAGTCCGATACAAACTGGAACATATGGTATGGAGCCAATATAAGCTACCATCCATCGTTTGAGTATGTATGAAGCTGAAAAAAGCTAGTTAAAAAGGGTAATCGATCGGCCTCGGCATGATAGATTGCATTCATTAAAAAAATCAACAAAGAATGCGAAACAATCTAATGGATGTGTCCATGGTCGGACAAATAAGGATGCCAAGATCGAGTGCTCAAGATCCACTAAAAAAGTTAATTTGGGAACACAAGAAGAACCAAAACCTATTTTTATAAGTGGGTTGTTGGATCCACAATTCAAGAGACATATGATCTCTTTATTAAGGGATTACAAAGATTGTTTTGCTTGGGAGTATTATGAAATGCCCGGTTTGGATATGAATATGCCAATTAAGAAGAATAACATTCTAGTAAAACAAACCCCAAGAAGAATTCTAAAGAAATGATTGACCTAGTACGACAAGATATAAAGAAGCTATTACGAGCAAGATTTATCGAACTTCTAGATGTGCGGAATGGATTTCTAATATTATTCCAATTTGTAAAGAAAAATGAAAAGATTAGAGTATGTATAAATTTTAGAGATCTTAATCGATGTACTCCAAAAGATAAATATCCGATGCCAATAGCGGATATGTTAATTGATGTCACCTATGGGTATTAAATCTTTTCATTTATGGATGGATTTTCTTGTTATAACCAAATTTATATGTATGAAGATGATGTTCATAAAGCTGCATTTAAATGTCATGGTTCTCTAGGAACTTTTGAATAGGTAGTAATGCCTTTTGGGTTAAAAAATACCGATGCTACATATCGGAGAGCAATGAACACTATCTTTTATGGCTCGATTTGTAAAAATGTCAAAGTATATATCGATAATATTAACGTTAAATCATTACACCAATCATCACATCTCGTCGATTTGGAAAAATCTTTCTAGCGAATGAGGAAACATGGTTTCAAGCTAAACCCCTTAAAATATGCTTTTGGGGTAAGTGTAGGAAACTTCTTTGGATTCCTAATTCATAATAAAGGTATCAAGATTGATGGCAACAAAGCTAAAGCCATCCTTGAAGCTCGAACCACCAAAAACAAAGAAACAATTATAAAGTTTCCTTGGATAGTTAAATTATTTGTGTCGATTTATCTCTAATGCAGTCGAGAAGACTAAGATTTTCTCGCCATTATTAAGATTAAAAGATTCGGAGACATTCATATAAAATGAAGAACATTAATAAGCTTTCGATGCGATCAAAGCCTATCCGACAAGACCACTTGTTTTGGTTTCTCCAAAACCTAAAAAACCTCTCAAGTTGTATATTGCGGCGAGTGAGGATTCCATCGGCTATTTTTTAGCCTAGGAGAATAGTAATGGCATTGAACAATCTATTATTTTACCTAAGCAAGATTCGAATACATTGGAATGCAAATATCCAAGCATCAAGAAACTTTTCTTAGCATTATATTTTGTAGCCATGAAATAAAAACAGTATTTACTTGCCTATACTTGTCGAAGTTATATCACAAACCAATGTCATCAAATATATGCTCTCTAGTCCACTTTTGAAATATCGAATTGGTAAATGGAGTCTCACCTTGATCCATTTTGATCTAATAAATGTCTCTAAAAAATCTATCAAGGGTTAAGTATTGGCGGGCTTTCTAGCCTACCACCCTAGTGTTGATATAGACTCGTTAGAAGAAATCCCCTACCTTGGGATAGTTCTATGAAAGTTGTTTTTTGATGGATCTAGTTCAAAGAATGATCGAGGCATTAGGATTGTACTAATATCACCTAGTGGAATCCCTACTTATAGGATTTACAAACTGGAAGGGATATGCACTCATAATTGAGCTGAATATGAAGCTTTGATAATTGGGCTCGAATTAGTTTTAAGCCGGAGAGTGGAAGCCATCGAAATATACGGAGACTCACGAGTTGGTAATCAACCGGATACTAGGTTATGCCAAGTGCAATAATGGCATTTTGGAACATTGCTTACAAAAGGTCAAAGATTTGTTAGGCCAAATTGATGTAACCAAAATCGAACATATCCTTAGGAAAGAAAATTGGTTGGCTAACGATTTGGCATAAATAGCCCATAGCTATCGAATCCCTTTAACCAAATTCAAGGAATTATTCACTCTCAAAGATAAAGTACTTCCCGAGTTTTGATCAAAGAAAAGAATTGATTGAAATTAACGTAATTTCAATCCTTTGAACCATTTCGAATGCGAGAGATGAAATCATTTCAGCATTAATAAATCCTAAATTAGTAAGATAAAATTCTCATATGAAGCATCCGATGAGAAACTATGTCCTTCGGGAAGATGAGTTATACAAGAAGAGTTCGATGGAATACTACTTCGATGTGTTAATACGGATGAAGCTTTAAGAATGATGGTGGAATCCCATTTTGGTCTCTGTGGATTACACCAAGAAGGAGACAAAATGAGTTGGATGATTCGACGACATGGTTTTTTTTTGCCATCAATGAAAAAAGATTATATCGAAATGGCAAAAGGATGTGATGAATGCTAAAAACATGGCAACATACCTAGGGTTCCCGTATCCGAATTGTATTCGGTAACTAAATCATGGCCGTTTAGAGGATGTGTAATGGATTTAATTAGAGAAATTAACCCGAGTTTCAAGAGCATCCCATTCATATATAATAGTAGCCATTGACTACTTCACTAAATGGGTTGAAACAAAGCCTATGAAGTCGGTAAACCAAAAAGATATTATTCTTTTCATTCAATAAAACATCATATATGGATTTGGTTTACCACAAACCATTATTGTCGATCAAGCTTTTATTTTTAATGGGGCGGAAATACAAGAGTTTATAAGAAAATTTGGTTTCGATATAATCAATTCGACGCCATACTATGCTCAAGACAATGGATAAGTAGAGGTATCAAATAAATTCATTAAAGGAAACATCCGGAAAATGATTGATAATAATCTTCGAAATTGGCATGAGTTGTTATAAAACACCTTATGGGCCCATCGAGTTGGATTTAAACAAAGTATTGACATAAGTCCATATCGCTTAACTTATGGGCATCGTTGTTGTGCTAGTGTTTGAGATTGTAGCTCAATCACCAAGAGTAGCGAAACAAAATGAAATGTACGGAATTGACTATACAAATGCAAGTTTGTTGAAACGAGAATCATTAGATTCGCGAGTGAATCAAAGTACTAAAAAAAGCCGCATGCAAAAACAAAGAATGGCACGAACGTACAATCAAAAAGTTAAAAGTAAAAACTTTTCGATTAGAGACTTAGTTTGGAAAGTCATACTATCAATTGAAAAGAAGGATTATTTATTTGGTAAATGATCTTCTAATTGGGAAGGCCCTTTTCGAATTAAGGAGACTTATTCTGGGAATGTTTATAAATTAGAAAACATCCAAGGAGTGGAATAACTAGGGACATTAATGCTAAATACTCAAAGTCGTATATCCTTTTTATTGGGAAGCCGATAAAGAAGTTTTGGAATTTTAATTTCTAGAATTATGGTGAATATATAGAGAAACTCAAGGATAGAACAAAACAATGTGGAATAACCACTTAATTCGGAAGACATATCTTTGGAATTAAAGTTGGAAATTGTTAGTTATTGTTACAAAAACTATTTATTTCGGGCTCTATTCCTATGAATATCTAAAATAATAGATAGCGCCCGTATAAGGCTCAACCTGCTAAGCCTTTGCCTATGTACAAAGTCATGCCTTTGCCACCTGTGTAAATTCTCATTGACATCGGCAATTTGAGGTTCCAAGGCGGATTGAGCAAACTCCAATTCAACTAACTTTTGCCTCATTTCTATAATCTTCTTATCTAAATAAGCCACGACTCGATCCAATTCAACTCGTTCCTCCCGCAATACTCGTGGTAGTCTTAGTAGGGGTTCCTTTCGTAAAAATCCGGATGTTTTCTTCTAAAGAACCCCGCATGGCATGTTCTTCTCTTAAGGCCATCTGCAATCATGTCTCTTGATACGACAAGAGACTTTTAATCATAGAGGTCTAGAGGAGGAGAATTGAGGAAATCAAAGAGGTCCGAGAACTTGGTGGAAGTAAAAAGCCGAGTTTCTAAAACCCTCAAAGGTCCTTCTATTACTAAAGCGGACACTACTTGTATATGTTGATTCAAAGCAATGTCCGATTGAGTGGAAACTTCCTTAAATTACTCGGGCTCAACCTTAGAGATATGAGTTAAAACCACCTCATCTTCATTAATCCCTTCATCGGAACCATGGTGGGAACTCGAATCTTGGACATTGATCGTTTCGGGATGGTCGATCATAATCGCCATAAGCATTGGTTGGTCGATTGCTAAAAATGTAGAGAGATCCCATGAAGGAGGAACATCGAAACATTAACAAGAGGATTCGATTCTTCAAAGGGCCTTTGTGTCAAAATATCGAGAGCATCGAGGGAAGGAGTCTCTTCGAACCTTCTGTCTCTATCCCGGTAGGGATTTTACTAATGACGAGTCTTGGGCCTTTTTCTATGTTTCTTTGTTAAAACGAGGTTTTTCTATATGTTTCAGTACTATTGATTCACTACATGTCTCCCTAAGGATTGCATCGACATGACCTCTTACGTCCATTTCACCCCGAGGATCCAAAAACAATTTCGCAAAGGGCTATAACGGTTCTTCGAGGACATCTCTAGCCTAAGGGATAAAAGCTAAAACACTCCAATTAGTATATAAATCAAAGAAAATGAACGATCAATTCGATATTGAGAAAGTAGTTATTTGTACTAGACATGTTAGGATGTCGGGATTCTTACCAAGAGAGAAGTTGATTCGGGATTGATCACCTAACGGAATGATCAAACAATATAAAGAAAACAAGTTTTGTTATAAAAAAAATGTTGAAAGAGACTTACTTGGCTTGCTTTAGGCCTAGATGGACCTCGTGATCAAAAGAATAGTTCGGACTCGAAATCCGATGCATAGATTCCGAAGTTTGGCCAATAATCTCTATAAGAGGAGGGGGTCGTCGAAAATCCTTTTTCGATCTTCTCAACTGCATAAGAACCAAGACTCATAAAAAAATCGGTGTCAAAGATAAGATAACAATGACGGATAGAAAGCTAAGGAATCTTCTGCCTCTTCTTGTTCCTCTAACGAGAAACCTTCGGTGTCCGGAACGGTTGTACGTAAGGATCGAGCACCTAGCCCGGTTGGGACTCTCTCCCTCTTGAAGAGGAGGAAGAAGAAGATGGAAGCTCTAGCATGGGAAGGGTATCTTTAATAATAGGATCAATCGAACTAAGGCGTCTAGAGGCATCGGTAATAGTCTTTTCAAAGGTCTACGTAATGATTCAATTGGTCCTTCCGAAGATGAATTTTATGAAGGGGAACCATATAAAATGAGTTTCCCTTTTCTCCGATTTGGCTTCTTTGGTAAAATTGTCAACGGGTAAAACCAAAAAAATAATTTTTAGCTCGTTTTCTTTTGAACTTAATAATGAAAGAAAGATAAGAGAAATAAATCAATTTTTACAATCAATCCGCCTTTAATTGGTGTCGATTCCATTTGCATCGATACACTAGTGATTATCTAGAGCAAAACCTCTTGGCATGGAGGAAAATTATTGCTCCAAAATGTTGACCACATTGTAGTGAATGTTAAAGTCATTTCAATATTCGGGCGATAGCTACAAAGATCTCGAGTATTGGCAAAGACTTGGGATTCGCTCTTAGCAATTCTGTTGTAGAAAATTATTGATGTCATTCCTCGTGTGCCAAGGTTGGTTTATGGTTGTATATAATGCCATTACCATTGTTTTAATCAACTCCGAATCATCGAGCATAGAGGTTTGGAGAATAAGCTTCGGCGAGGATCGAATCCCTAGAGAGTAAGTTAAGTCTCGACTTACCGGTATTGAACTCCGGATAGAACGTTCGTTAGCAGAGAATTATACCTTACGAAGTAATTTTTTTGAACAAAATCACAACGATCCATAGTTGTGAGTATGGAATGGTATCCGGTCATCTAATGTTGCTTGATGGCGATCTAGATCGAGAATGTGATTCACGACTTCAAGGAGAGTGATAGGTTAGCCGAGTACATTATGAATTAATGAATGACCATAGCTCTCCAAATCGTCCCGAATTAAATACGTCCGCACAAAGTAAGGAAAATAGAATTCGTCCTATATTTAGATAAACTAAAGAGGACATGATAAGGTCTAGAACCTTTTGGTCGATGCATCGTGAAGTCTTGTATATGCACATACAAGGAGAATTGGACCCATATTCATCGATTCGCTTCCATCGAATGCGGCCATATTGATAACCTAAGGTAAAAATGCCTTGATTGGTTTTTTTGATTTAGAACCCACTTGTAAATCCATAGCAACTAGAAATCAATCTCCTCACTGATGAGATATCATTGTTCCACCTCCACATTGGGAGTTTGTTTTCTTGGACCTTGAGGTCCGCATCGTTCGCTTTAAAAGCCAAAGTTTGGCCGGAAGGGTATAAGTAAGTAATGGCCATGACGTCTAACAAATTCAATGACATATGGCCTTTTGGGAATTGGAATTGGTTGATGCAAGGGTTCTAGAAAGAGATCAAAGTTGTGACTAGAATAGGGTTAGGAAAATATAAGTGAGTCGACAAGCATGATGGCTTCACGGATCCCCGTCGTTACCTATTTTTTGCCCAATTGAGGAAGGAGCCTTTTGTTCACCCAAGCCTCATACTTAGCATTCTATTTTGGCCAAATCGCTGGGAATGTTTTGGTAGTCCGTGTCTAATTTTAGAGGATGGAATAAAATGTTGATTCAAAAATTATAGCGGTGTTAGTAGTTCTTGGGTAAGTCGAATCGATCATCTCCGACGGAGGTACTACATCGGTATTGACTGTAGGTCCTAGGGTTATATAAGGACTCCTCTTGGGTTTTTCTTAAACCCTATTAGGACATCGATAACTTAGTTGTCGGTAATAGGTTGGATGAGGCAAGTATAGATCGCATTAGGTCAAACAAAGAGTCGCCATAATTTATGACGAGTCGGTTAACAAAGATACTTTAGTCCGTATAAACTTCTTGAAAGATTTTAGGTTTCTTTTAGGAGCTATCCTAATGGAATAAAAAGACTTTCCAAAGCAAAGAAAGTGTTCGACAAACAATAGGAAGAGTTTTTGAAAAACTTTTTTTGTAGAAAGTGAGGGAAATTGTAAAGAGTTCAAAATTATAAAGTCGGCTTTGTTTTATATTACATACATTCAAAATTCGTGATGTTTTCATTTTTAAAACCCAATGATTCAGATTTGGCAAAATGAAATGACATAGTGCTTGTATAAAGTAGTCGCCTTTGGAAAGATGGGGAGTCGCGTGGTCTCATCACGTCTTATGGGCATTTAATAATCTGTCCATCGGAGAAGAAACTCTTCATTTCATCTCTAAAGGACTAAAATGAGGCCTATGTTGGCATACATAAACTCAAGCCACGTGTCGATTGGAATCGACATTAAATATTAAACGCTACAACTTAACCGAACGATGCATTCTCAAAATCTTAATGAAACGGTGCATTTGGTTTTATAAACGAACCAATATCGATAAACACATATTTGAGAGCCTTAAATGAAACGGTGCGTTTAGGTTCACAAACCAACCAATATCGATGAAACGGAGGTTTGAGAGTACTAAATGAAATAATGCATTTGCTTACACAAGCCAATAGATATCAATAAATAGAGATTCTGCTTGGTTTCACAAACGAACCGATATCGATGAACAAAAAAGAGGATAAAACCCGATAACCGTTTGCTCTCAAATTTGACATTCTAGATGGTTATCAATGGACCATAGTTTAAAAGAAAGGAAAGAAGAAAAACGAGAGAGGACAACAACAGAAGATTTCTCTGAAAATTACTTTTATCCTCTAGAATAACTTTTACCTTCCTGTAAAGTAGATCAATAACATTTATCTTGCTTTCCGAGTACTTAGAATTTTTCATTTCAAGTATTATCAAATGGGATCATCCAAAACTGTCGATGTAGGTGTTATGTTTCTCGATTTATAGTATTTATATCTCGGTTTATCATCATATTCTCAACTTTATCATTCAAATTGAAATACCACGTAAAAGTCCTAGTGGCTCACTAGGTAGCATTGAACCCTTTATTATTTCCTCGAGAAGTATTTGGTTACAAATTAAAGTGTCGATTTACTCCACAATTAAGACCAAAGTTGACGAGCGACAACAATTTAAAATCCAAAATACTATAAATTAGACAAATGTAATCCAAATTACTCAATCTTCATTATGTGTAACTGGTCAATTAGATTGATAGTTAGTTGGAATGCCAAAACGACGTCATTTTAGCACTATGTTGTTAATTATATATTTTTTAAAAAATATTTTAAACCCCCTAATCTTGAACTTTAAAAAAAATTCTTATAAAATACTATAAATATTTTATAAATTATATAAAAAAATATTTTATAAATATTTTTAGCCCTCTAATTTTGAAATTAAAAAAATTCTTATAAAATATTATTATAAAAAACATAATTAACAATTAACAATTTCGGGACTTAAAAAGATATTTTTATAAATCAAAATGAGCATAATTAAGGATTGACCCCCGATTTTATAAATTATATAAAAAAATATTTTTTATAAAATATTTTATAAAAAAAAGTCCAAAATTAAGAGGGTTAAAAATATTTATAAAATGTTTTTTTATATATAATTTATAAAATGCTTATAATATTTTATAAGAAAAAAGTTAAAAAAAAATCAAGATTGGGGGGTTATATATAATAATGATAATAATTAATAGCGAAGGGGCAAAACGACGTTGTTTTGATATTTCAAGTAACGATCACCTAGTTGATCGTTACACATAACGAAGATTGGATAATTTGAATCACATGTGTCCAACATTCAATACTTTAAGGTTCAAATTACGTAATTTGATATTATGAATCCGAAATTACCAAATCGCAATAAAACGAAGTAAGATTTACCATTGAACCATTTATAAATAGAGACGTTATTTTTATTTATTTATTTATTTTTCCGAGTAAATCAAATGGCATGGACAATGAGTTATCTAATGGTCAATATCTCACTTTGCTTTTATTTCCTCTTCCACCCTTTTAAATACATTTTCCTTATTTATCTTTCTCCACCAGTTTCTTTTCCAAACCAAGCATGATGTTGGGAGTTTTGCTAGGTTACTCCATTGTAATCTTTAAATTTAGAGTTCGTATTACATGATTTTTTTATAATAAGTTTTGCTTTTAGGTCATAATCCAAAATTGTTTTCTTTTTTTTTTATAAATAATTTTAGACCAAAATGATTTAAAATGATTTTAAATTATAAAAATATTTGGTAAAAATAATTCAAAACAATTTTTTTTTATTGAAGAAATGCTGTATAAGTTAGAAATAAAAAATTTCAACTTTTAATTAAATCAAAATTTTGACTCAAATTTATAACAAACTTTTGATTGAAGTAAAAAATTACTTTAACCAAACATACTTATAGTTTTCTTTGAATTAAAATTTGAAAAACAACTTAAACAAATTTGCAAAAATCATATATAATATAATAAGTCGCTTGTCATGCTTTTTTTTTTTTTTCAATACTTAATTTGACAAAGATAATTCATCTTGATACTAAATAAGCTTAGGGTGAGTTTGCCTTAATGATTAATTTTTTCAATTAGAATGTTTTTTTTAAAGGGTTAATTTGGAAAAGAAAAGCTGAGAGATGAGAAAATGTTGGTTTAAGATGTCTTAATTTGTATAAATTTGCCATGACATTTTCTCTTTCCTCGATTATAAAAAAGAAAAAAAAAGGTATCAAATAGTTGTTTATATTGAAGGCGATACCAGTTCAACATGGAGCCTAAAATCTCAATTGATAACCAAACGAGTTTCATAATTTTGATCGGATCAAACAAAGGTCCGATCGCAATAATAAATAACTGTTAAATAAATTTTTTTAGAAAAAAAGATTAAATATTCATTGTCAACGCATAAACTAATTTATTATAAAATTCATTTAGTTGGATAATATGGTTGTAACTGTAACCATAATGGTAGGTAAAATAAATATTTGGCTGAAATGGTAATCGCAAATAACATGATGATGGGAAAAAAAAAAAAAAAGCTAAAAGATGAAGCTTGTTCAAGAAAAACTATTTTTGGATTTTTTTTTCCATGGAGTGGACAGCGACCTGAAACCTTACGACTGTTTTGTGCAAAGCTTAACTGAGCTTTTTGCCCAATTTTATTTGGATTTGATAAGATTCTCTGTAGAAGAAATTAATGTTAAAAGGACTTCCTTAAGAACCACTGGAGCTGAAAAGCCAATACGGTGCTTGTCCCGCTGGATTACGTGATCCATAAAGTAAGAAGCAAACGTATATAAAGAAACCACGTCGCAAATGATCAGCATGGGATCGAGTTGAACCATGGGTCCCGTCCCGACCAATTAGACTTGGAGGGGGACATGAATGACATGACTGGTGAGCAGGTGCAAGGTGCTGCTCGCATTGCCCTCTGGGTCAACCCCAGGTGACTGAAGACCGAAGAGCAGTGGTTTCCTTTGGCTTCTCGTAGCAGTCAGTACTTTTTATTCATGATTCTTTATTATGCATAAAAACTCCACTGAAATATTTTTTCATTTTTTAAGTTTTAATGAAATTGATTGCTGAATTGTTTGAATCCTACAGTTTGTTGTTTTGAATTCATTTTTATTGCTCTTAAACTTGGGTTATTGGAAACCAATCCATTGGGCAGGTAGAAAGCTGTCGTGCATTAAAAGCTTGGAACCATCATTGAAATCAATTCCTTGAAGACTCATCTCATATTCTTATAAGTTTTTCCTAGGCTTACATATTTTTTAAAACCTATCTCTTGAACCTAAAGCCCAACATGGCATCCTCCAAAATAAGCCCATATGACGGGTGTGTTTTTAAAATTATTTGAAGAAAAAATTAATTTCATTCGTATACAAACTAATTTAAGAATATTTTTATCATCGTAAAAAATTCTATAGAAAAAATGATAATGTATTTGAAAAAATTACTTGCCAAAAAAGTTAAAAATGGACAATAGAATTTTTGCCTCATTTTATAAAGACCTCCTTTGAAATTTCCCAACTAGTCGATTAATTCTCACAATATCAGCTCTGAAGAAATCAACGTTATCAAATGGACAATAGCATTTAAGTAAATTAGATCCATTAGCTTCCTAGCATAAACTCGTAACCTATATGCCTTTTTTTTTTTTTCTCTCTCTGTATGCTTCTTATCCTACACGATCTTGTGATGGTTCGAAATAAAAGTTCTCATTAGTATCAGACTTTTGATCTTAATCGAATTTATATTCAAACAAAAGAGTTGAGTTAAAATAAAAAATAAAAACAAAGAATTACCTAAATAAGATATGATGTCTTCAATTTCATGATATCAGTTAAATAATTATCGCTAAAAGTTAAATTGATTAAAAAGAAAAAATCTGAAGTTCGATTTGATAACGTGTATTTTGATTGCTTGACTAATGATTCATAATAACAACCAAGTTTTAATATCAAACTAGTCAAGATGTATAGACCCTTTTACATTATTCTATGGAATATATATATATATATATATATATATATATATATATATATATATATATATCAATTTTTTCTCAATATTTTTTTTAAATCCTCCATATTGAATAGACTTCTCAATTTGTTGATAATCTCCTTCACTAAATTTTTATCGTGAGTGAATAGAGTTAAGTTTAAACATAAAATTTAAACTAATTAAATCGTCATGATTTTGTTCGGTTTATTTAGTAATTGTTTTGTTATGTTTGATAGTTCGATTTTAATTTTGATTTTGTTTGATAACCAAATTAATAAAAAAATAGACTTTCTTTTTTCATTTACTAATTATTTTTTCTAAAAAAGAAATTTAAAATCTAAATCAAGGAAATTTTACTTGAGAAAAAAAATGAAAATCCAAAAACCAAACTAAACAAACGGATTGCCATCCCCTAATCCTTACTCTTTTACGTTGGATGGGGGATTCAAAGTCCTCTAGTTATTGCCATTATAATTACGAGTTGTGATCTAAGCCACCATATATATCCTCGGTACTAGCATAAAATATATGAAAAATGCTTGGTGACACTATAGTGACAGACATCATTTTCAAAAATAGAAAAGATTTAAGGATAAATTTGAAGAAGAAAAATGTTAAATGATATAATACTCATTGAAATAAAATATATTTTTTTGTATTTCTTCAAGAAAACACTACTAGTATAATGTAGCGCTATTCAAAATATATTCATATCCTAAGCACGTGCAATGTCCTTGCCTTCTCAAATGGTGTCAAGTGGGCTTGTGTTCCCTACAAATATTGTACCATTGTTCCTTCACACGTACACTACCATCACAGTTCCCATTGGCCATGTTCCTTCACTGGCCTTAGCTATGCTATGAACAACCACACGCACCGCATCCATGCCAACACCTACCATGTTGTTTGACTTGAATTTTCCTTCTCAGTAGGGACATTTAGTACTCTGTATACCTCAACCAAATTCCCAAGTTTAGCCAGTTCCCCTCTGTTTTTCGTAAAGAGAACATGGTGGCTAGCTTATTGACTGTCTTGTGTTACAAAGCATAGACAAATGCTTTAGTTTAGTCAAGCATCGCTTTTAAGAGGGTATTCGAAACATCCGTTCAAAGAAAGTGCCAGAGAACATATATATATATATAATTCGCATGGGGCTGAACGTAGTATGTTTTCTGCGACGTAAATACATGGCACGCGCGTCAGAAACTTGCAACCTAATTCGGCGTTGATGGATGTTAGGCACTTTTAACTTCTTGCCATTGGCTCTTTCTTGCTTTTCGTTTGATTTTTTTAAGAAAGCTCTATTTCACATGCCAAGCAATTTATCAATTAAGATATCCACTTATCAAATATAATACTGTATAGTATTAGGAAAAGAAACTCTAAATGATTGATTTGGGGGTTAAAAAAAAATTGTTTCTTTCTTAATTTTTTTGTGAAACAAATGCTTTTTTTTTAAAAAAAATTATTCGGAGAGGAACTTGATATCATTAGATACACAAAATATATCTTTAACATCAAATAATATACGTGTGTATGTATGTTAGGAAAGGTTGCAAAAAATTAATAAAAGTAGTATCTAATTGACTGATTATACGGATCTTTAGATGATGGGGTAAATCAAGTTTGAAGCCCATGAACTCAGGCCAGCCTGTTTCAATTGGCATCTTAATGGGTCCGTAAATAGGCTAGTCTAAAGCATGGCTGTCCAGGAAGTGTTCATTTGGAGAAGCAAAAAAAAAAGAAAAAGATTTTCTACCCCACAAGCTGGCACCCAATAGCGTCTCTATGGGGTTTGACGATGATGTATTAATGGACATGTAGGATAAATGAGGTCCAATAATGTGACAGCTTTCACACAGCCTTTTCCTCTTCATTTTGAATTGATGCCTATCTGAATGGCTTTAAAAATGGTCCCCCATGTTGCCCTACTTGTAAGGGAACCCCCTCCTGTGGGGCTCATATCAGAAGAAAGTTTGGGGTCATATTTGTCAAACCACGCTGCTGCGATGCATGCAAAATTTCTGGAGTGTTTTAAGCAGCCATGTTAGCTTAATAAAGAAAAATGGACATGTTTGGTAGGTTTAGACTTAAGATTATGCGACGGCGGATTTAAAAGACGTCTTGAAAGGAGAAATCAGCGACAGAAGTCAACTTTCCTGGCTCCACCATTACAGTGTACCTGTCCACCCTAGTTGCCTGGTAATTATATGCATGTGAAGCATTATTAACAAGAAAAATGATCCCGATAAAGGGAGAGATTTGATCTTCCATGACAGCACTGCTTTTCTTGTTAGCCTTTAAAAATAATAAGGGTATTTTGGGGAGGTTGCTGTATAATAGAATTAGTCTCTTTTAAATGAATTATTCTAAATCTAAGTTGGAGTTTTCCTTAAAAAAATTATTTTGTTGTGTTTTTTTTTTAATTTGGATTTTAAATGATATTTAATTTATAGAACATATTTATTTATCAATTAAAGGATGCTTTCAAGGATAGCATGAATTTTGAGACGTGAAATAATAATAATAATAAAAAAACACATTTTAATTAAAATATTGGTTTGATATCGATCGGCGTAAAACAGTATACATTTTAGTTTATTATAAAGATTGAAAAATAGTAAATTTTTTAAGCAATTTATGGAGAATGAAATAATCCGTATAAGAAAAAAAAATGAAATATCAATTTTATTTAATTTAATAAATTAACTGAAAAAAATTAAGCAGGAAGGATGCGAGAGCTTAGGTTAGTGGTAGCTAATGCTGGCAAGGAGACAGTGGGGAGGTGGCATCACTTGCAGGCGTCAGGAGTGGCCCGTCGTTCCTCAATGCAACAATCAAAGAATTCTTTTTATTTTATTGGAAAATCCTATATTTGCTCCATTTCCGGCAATTTATATCCTTGAACGGTTTTCAGACTGTCCAACCTTATCTCCCGAAATCCATCCCTCCCCTAATTACGTCTTTTCTTAATTTATGTATTCAATCGTAGCTTAAACTAATCCCACACAAAGATTATTTTGTCGGTATACCATTTCTAATTTTTCTTCTCTTTTGTTATTCATGATTAAATTATTTTTTAATTACAAAAATATTTTTATCTTTTTTTCTAAATATGAAGATAAATGTTTATTGATACGTGTTTGTAATATGATATCCCATAATTAACAAATTTATCTATATTTTTTTTAAAAATCAATTATCAAGTTAAATTATTGTCAATGAATATGTTTTTTTTTAGTAAAAAAATGTTTTTAGATGAGTTTACATATTGATTAAAGTTAATTCTTTTGAAACCATGTTAAAGACATATCTCTTACATCATTTGATATATTTTTAAAAAATAAATTATTTTCAATGCAAATTTAAAATTTGAACTTACAAATTAAAAAAGAAATCAAACTTCTTTAACCACCATAACAATTCTCTAAGATTTTAAAAAAAGAAAAAGCATAATTGATCCTTTTGCTAACATATTACCACATTAAAATTCAAAGTTCCTTGTTTTTTATGTGATAAAATAGTTTTTTCAAATAGTAAAGTTTCTCCTTCGTAATCTGATTTCCAAATTCATCTCAAATGATTTACAGAAATCACGAGCTAAAATGATTATGCTAAAATATTATTAACGTCACCATATGAGTACGGAATCAGGATACGAGTCTATTTATTTTCCACGTAAAACGCGAAGGAGGAAGAAAAAAGAGAAATATATATATCGAGAAACATCTCACGAGAATTTGATCTAGTGCGTTTCTTTAGTTACTCTTGTAATAAAAGAGTAGGATGGGATGGAACATTAAGAACAGGGAAAAGAAAAGAAAGAAAAACGCACAGTTACTGAGCGAGTGGTAAAAATTTTAAAAACTAGAAAAAGAGGTGTGTTGGATCCATTGATACTGATAGAAATAGAAAAGCAAAAGAAAAGAAAAGAAAAGAAAATCGAGAGAGAGAGAGAGAGAGAGCTTAAAGTTTCAACACAAACCGAATGGGTCATCAAAATCATGAAGAAAAAGTGCCCTTCTCTTCTTCACTCTTCTCTTCTTTGAGATTTCTGCTTCCGCTCTTTCTTTAATCACACTTCTTCATTTCTTACCTTACGGTACTCTCTCTCTCTCTCTCTCTAATTACACAAGGTCCTTTTTTTTTTTTTCCCATCAACTGACTGGATTTCTTACTTTTATTTTGCTGTTTTAATTGGAATTCAATTGTATCTTTTTTGCTGTTAAGAAAGTTAATTTTGTGGTTTCGAGTTTGAAGGTTAGAATTTCTGCGCGGTTAGTAAGAAAATGTCGGAGACATCAGTGATTCTGGTCTGAGATTTTGGATTTCATTGCTTTATTGATTTTTAAAACTCCTTTTTTTTCAAAAAAAAAAAATAATAATAATTAGGATTTGTCTGGTTTCGAATTTTTGAGTTCCAATTTTGTGTTTGTTTACCGAAATATCGGGGGAAAAATGAACGTTGAGTGATAGGGATTTTTAGGATCTGGAGTTTGTTGTTTTCACACTACTTTTGTTTTGTGAAACAATGTAGGAAGGATTAGTAAATTTGGTATTAGGGCTAATCAATGTGTGGTATATTTGTGTTTTCATTTTCTGATGGTTGGTTGGTTTACGATGTCTGCTTTTTAGTTATGGTTTTCTGTTATGTTGGGGAGATAATGTTAGAAAGAGGCTGGCCATAAATATTTTGAATTAGTGAAGAAAATCAAGTTGGTGGTTATTTCGAATTTGAACGATCAGAATAATCGTTAGTTTTAGAAGATGCATATAGAATTCTAATTTGAGAATTGACTTGTAATTAACTGTTTGAAATGAGGTTTGCCAAGTGGTGAAAGTTGTTGAGTGATGCAACATTTTTGTTCGATAGTTTCCTCTTAGATGTTTAAGGTTTAGAACTCTACGGGTGGTTTCTTAATGAAATCGAGGACCATTTTATACTGATTTTGAAAAGCAAAGAAGCGATGGAGAAATTTCATTAGGCAGGCAGGCATCTTATGTTTTTGAGATACTGATCCTTGGGAGATTTTGAATTGTGTTACTTGTGTAAAGTTTTAAAACGTGTGCCGGTTATATATGTTTGTAGTTCTGATTTCTTGCAATTGATTTGATAAAAGTCTGTGGAGAATACAATATGATTATGCCAAACTAATTCAATGTTGTTTGTGTCTTCTTAATACAGAGGAAATGCTTGAGTTCCTTGGTAATGAGTGATGCATAAGAGTCTGCTTTATGTGTCAAATGCGTGCCTAAGCCAAAGGTTGCTTCTTCAGTAATTTATTAAATCAAATGCATATATTTAAGAGCGTGGGGTTGTGACACGAGGGCTCTGTCTCCCACAAAAGTTGAAATAATTGTCAAGTGAAACACATGGAGTCTACTGGGTGTTGGTTCAATAGGTTAAAGTCAAAGGATAAGCTGAAGTCTGCCAAAAAGAAAGATATTGCAGGCAGTGGGAAGGAGGGATCAAAAGCACTAAACAGTGAAGAAGTACCGTCAAATGTAACCAGGCAGAAGGTTGCAGCTGCAAAGCAGTATATTGAGAACCATTATAAGAAGCAAATGAAGGACCTGCATGAGAGGAAGGAGCGGTATGATTTAATGCATCTTTTGTTAGCAATGATGTTCGAGTAAAATTGCTTTCCTGTTAATAGTCATACTTCATCTTTTGGCATATCTGTTTGAAATTCTCAATTGGTTGGAAGATGTTACTTATATGATGCTCTGTTATTTAACTAGTCACCTTCACCCCTCTATCTCTTAACATAAGGAAACAGAATTTTTCTTCCTGATTGGCTAATAAGGCTTTATTCATTTGCTTCACTTCTTAGTGATGATGTGTGAGATCTTGCGGTTCCTATTTTAATTGTTCCTAGTAAAGTACATTTTCTTTTTTCTTTGGTACCACTTAAGGGTTTATTTTGTATGTTTCATTTAGATAATAACAAATGCATGGTTCTTGTTGATTGTTCTGGCAATGGGATAAAATGACAGTGGGCTATTTAACTTCCCCTTATCAAGCAATGATTTTTCCTTTATAATGTGCTTTCAAGTCTAACTATGCTAAAGATTTGGAACTCCAAGGTAGTGTGAACTTGATTGCATGTAAATTGAACTCTGCAAATTGAAAATTTGGCTTTCGTTTTCTGGAAGCTTCATGCCAGTTCGTAATCATTTCACATTAGCCTATGGATTTATTCTACTTATTTTTTTCTATTACAATATCTTAATTATAAAAGTATACTGAAATTGGGGTGGAAAGATATTTGCATGTTCCCCATAACTGATTCGCGTCATCCATGCCTTTTAAGAATCATCAAATCAATAACAAAATGTCCTGTTCGAAGAGGATCATTTATGGAATGTCTTGAGATATGTTTTAGATTCAGAATCTGAACTTTCACCTGGACTGTCAGTAGGATTAGCCGGGGCATTTAGTACAAGGTCCAAATAAGTTTTGCAAGCACTGTTGTATGATAATGTTAGCTTCATAATTTGTAAAGTTTGGTGCACTGATGCTCTCAGGGATCATCCCTGTCCCCGATCTTTATTTGATTCTGTTAACAAGATTTTCTGCACTCCAACTTCTAATTTACTTGTGAAAAAACAATGATTTGACACTCTAGTCTTCTTGTTTTAAAAAAAGAAAGAAGGAAAGAAGGAAAACGAAATTAGGAATTTGATATAGGTAGTTTGGTGTGCCTTTGTACCAGTATATCGAGTTTTTGGAGGTAGACTAGTGTGGTACATATGTTATGGGCCCAATTTATCTAAAGGTTACTCACCCTAGCTAAGGCCCAGCCTTAAGGATCATTACAGAAGATTGGCTTCAAAGTCTCCAATGTCTGACCTTATCAATGGAGGTTGGTATTATACTTATCTCGTGCGGTTAGGGTTCATTCATTCTACCTGTTAGTAAATTGTAAAATGCTACAGTGATACTTTTATTGGCTAGTAAAGCTTGCTTGAATTTATCTTCATTCCCTAAAGAGTTTCCCTATTGAGGAAAACACCATCTAATGATGATTAATTCTCAAATTGAAGTTTAGAAGATGGACCATGTGCACCATTAGTTCATTCCTATCTACTGTTTTGAAATCTATTTTGGGTGGTTTTGGATGTCTTGGCTATTCCTTGATGGTAAATTATTGCCTTAAAATTGAAAGCAATTTATTTGTAGATGATTCCTTTTTTACAGTTTTTTATGGTGTTTGTGGAAGTCAAATAACAGAAGACTATGCATGCGGTTAGGGTAGAATCTGAATGGGGTGAAAGTATTCATAACGAATCTAATGGCTTTCTGGTGCCATCTTAGAAATTGAATGGTTGCTAACACTATGATTGATTCTAATCTGTGCATGTGTATTGTACACGTTCATGAGCATTGCATTCGTAATGACCATTAGATGCTAACACTATGATTAATTCTTTCAGCACAAAGGGTGCATGAAATTTTTTGCGTTTCTTTTGAGTGGTCATTGGATGAATAAAACACACCATTTTTTTTTCAGAGAGACCATCTCACTCATGTGATCTTTTCACTTTCAGATCATTAATGGCATGGTGTTTTGGTGCTTATGATTTCTTGCAGACGTAATGTACTGGAGAAGAAGTTAGCTGATGCTGAGGTCTCTGAGGAAGAACAAAATAACTTATTAAAGTATTTAGAGAAGAAGGAAACTGAATACATGCGCCTTCAAAGGCATAAAATGGGTGCTGATGATTTTGAACCATTGACAATGATAGGCAAGGGTGCATTTGGGGAGGTAAGCATGTCTTTTTCATATTCTATTCCAGCTTGACAGACCTCTTTGGTATTTTCTTCTTGCTACATTGTAGCGTATAGTAAGAAGAAACACACAGACACAGACGGGTTAAAACATTTTACTGCTGTTTGCAAGTAAATTCATTTCCTGTTAAAATGTTTCTGTATTTATATGTTGCATTTCTATTTGATAGCCAGGATATATATCTCGCTATATACATTTGGGTGTTTATAGTAGTGATGCTCTTTCAACTAATTCATCAATTATTTAGTGATTTGTTTTTTGAACTTCTCCTTTTGGGGCTGCAGGTTAGAGTCTGTAGAGAAAAGTCAACAGGTCATGTATATGCTATGAAGAAGCTTAAGAAATCAGAGATGCTTCGCAGAGGCCAGGTATATGATTTTATTACATCTGCCTAACAATTTTGTTGGATTTCTTTTTCATTATGCTTATTTCCAGTTTGGATCTAAAATGTTCAGGTTGAACATGTGAAGGCAGAAAGGAATCTACTTGCTGAGGTTGATAGCAATTGCATTGTCAAACTATATTGTTCTTTCCAAGATGAAGAGTATCTGTATCTCATCATGGAATATCTACCTGGTGGAGATATGATGACTTTACTGATGCGAAAGGACACACTAACTGAAGATGAGGCCATGTTTTATGTTGGGGAAACTGTCCTGGCTATCGAGTCTATCCATAAACATAATTATATTCATAGGTAAATCAATGTTTTTTTCTTCAACTGTCGATTTGCTTTTCTTATCATGTACTTCTGGTATTGTAATTGGGACCTTACCTTTTCTGTGTTTTCATGTTGCAGAGATATCAAGCCTGACAACTTGCTACTTGATAGAAATGGTCACATGAAATTATCAGATTTTGGATTATGTAAACCATTAGATTGCAGTAATCTCCAAGAAAAGGATTTTTCTGTGGCAAACAATCTTAGTGGAGCTCTTCAAAGTGATGGACGCCCTGCAGCACCAAAACGTACACAACAGGAGCAATTGCAACATTGGCAGAGGAACAGGAGGATGCTTGTAAGTTCCCTACTGTCATGTAGTGCAATGACCTTTCAGTCTATAGGAGTAGCATTGTTAATCAAGGCATTATTGTTGTTGATGTTGCGGCTGCTGCTTTACTCTGAATGCTTGTTTTCACTATATCGCTTGTAATATACAGGCAGCAAGTATTTATCTAGAGTGAAAAATACTCTTCCTAGCTTCTTGGTGCCTTTCTTTGGATGTGTTTGCTGGGGTTTTCTTAGTGGATATGTAGAGAGACTCAAAGGCTCTGTTATTTTAGCCTCTTTTTTCTTGATTACTTTTGTTTCTTAGGAGGATGTCTTGATCTTCTTTAGAATCATCGACCTTCTCTGTTCAAAAATTATTTTTCCTACAAAAAATCTCTAGATATGCTAGCAGGACCTCATGTTCACAATGTCCTGTCAAATATCTCTTCCCTGCTCATGGGTACCTGTGGGAATTCCACTGGGATTTCTATTGTTTAAACCTTCAATGTTGTAATGTTGCAGGCTTATTCTACTGTTGGAACTCCTGACTATATTGCCCCAGAGGTCTTGTTGAAGAAAGGATATGGAATGGAATGTGATTGGTTGGTATACTGAGAATATTTCTTAGTTAGTTATTTTCTTTTCTAAGACCCATCCAGGTGACTTAATGTTTTACGTCCAGGTGGTCCCTTGGTGCTATTATGTATGAAATGCTTGTGGGATACCCACCGTTTTACTCGGATGAGCCCATGTCAACTTGTAGGAAGGTAATCTTGTGATTGTTTACTTCTTATTTGTCAAGAGAAAATTGTGCTTTTCTTGATTGTGATTAATGCATTTTGAAATGAGCCTTGCAAACATGTTTACTTGATATTTTTTTCTATTCTCTTTACCAACCCAAAGCAATGCTATTCAGTTCAATTGCAATTTTTTAGTTGGTATCTTCTCAACCTTTTTGCCTAAATGTTAATAAACCTTTAATCTCAGCACTAACATCTAAGTTTTTTTCCTTTTTAGTGTTAACCTTCGGAGTAGTTCATTCCATTCCTTGTCTCCAATATCATCAGTACTTAGTCATTTCACTGTTTTCATTTTCTACAGATAGTTAATTGGAGAAATCATTTAAAGTTCCCAGATGAAGCAAAGTTATCTCCTGAAGCGAAAGACCTTATCAGCAAACTCTTATGTAATGTTGACCAGAGGCTTGGAACAAAAGGCGCAGATGAAATAAAGGTGTTTTGTGGTGTTTTCTGTTCTAAATTCCTTGTTTACTCCAAGATAAAGTCAAGATTGATAAAATTAACTTGTTTATTGGTTTCTTTTTCTTTTTTTTCAGGCTCACCCATGGTTTAAAGGTATTGAATGGGAGAGATTATATCAAATGAAAGCTGCATTTATTCCTGAGGTCAATGATGAGTTGGATACTCAAAATTTTGAGAAGTTTGAAGAGGTAGATTGATTGGTCTAAAATTATAATTACTTGTTTAGATACTTCTACTTTCTGTAACCTTTCTATCATTCATGTGATTCTTTGAGTAGGCTGATGACCAAATTCAGACTTCTGCAAAATCTGGTCCATGGAGAAAGGTTGGTACATACAAATTCTGTTGGTTACGTTTTAAGTATAGCTAGTTAATTTTGGGGTATCTTGATTAGTGTTCCACCAGAGAATATGCATTTTTCTGTTTATTCTATTTCTTTTTTTTTTTTTTTCGACGAATGAATCTTTCATTTCTAAGTTAAATTCAGCAGAGGTAGGCAACCCGAATCACTTTACCATTAACATCTACTGTATTACTGTCAACCAATTTGCATCAAAAGAAATGAGCACCAGCTAATGATAAGACCTTAAGAAACTCCAATTCTACAAGCCAGAAACATATATGATTCTTGGCCAGCTGCAGTTTATCAGACTTATAACCACCGCCTGCAGAGTTTCTCATCTACTTTCCTTTTTAATTTATATATTTATGTTCTTTGGAGCAGTCAAGATTTGAACTATCTAGATTCTATATATGATAATCAGGGAGTTAGGGATACACATGTTTGTAGTCTCAGGAGACAGGGATACCATTCAGAAAAGCAGAAATTTGGGAGTGTGAGGAACTTTCCACTTTTCCATATTCACATATTACATTATTCCTTTCTCTGAGGGAAGTGGACATTCATGAATGAAAAAATTACTTAATTCCACAGCTTAAGAGTTTTTGGTGCTAGACTGACCTGTGAATTTAATTGGAATATTGCTAGCATCAACACAAAAGCTATTTGCTTTATAGCATGCAAGTTAAGCTTAAGAATTTTTTTGCTGCTAGATTGGCCTGTGAATTTAATTGGAGCATCATAGCATCAACACAAAAGCTATTTGCTTTATATAAGCCTGCTATTTAAAGGTTTAATTCATCGGTGATAAATAGCGTTTCTGGCATCTACATGTTGATTAAATGTTTTTGTTTTTGTCTTTTCTGCAGATGCTTTCATCTAAAGATATTAACTTTGTTGGTTATACATACAAGAACTTTGAAATCATAAATGATCATCAGTTACCTGGAATTGGTATTTTTTTCCTTCTCTTCGGTTATATTTATATAATGTACCTTCTTCATTTGAGTATCCTAATTAGTATTTTGTCCCACATTATCCATAATATTGATTTTTTTTTTAAATGATATTGTGGAACTATGATAGGGGACGGGTTTGTTAATAATGGAAGTGTTTGGCAGCATCACCCTTTAACTTTTATGCGCTACATAAACCATACATGCTATATTATTCCACAAAGATTCTTGAAAACCTAAAAGATCTCAAAAATCAACTTCAAAAGGTAGGTTATTTAATGGTTAATGGTGAAATTGGAAATTTTTGGGAACTAGAGGGGTATCAATCAAATCTATAGGTGCGAGATTGAAGTTGAGCACAAGCTTTATCTTTGTGCAATCATCCACTTTCACATGATCCTTGCATGTGACTTTTTCTACATCCATTATGCAGCTGATTTAAAGAAGAAGAGCACAAAATCTAAGAGGCCCTCGATCAAGTCGCTTTTTGGTAAGTTGTTTGTTTGTTTTTTCTTTTAATTTTTTTTTTTTAGTAACATATATTATTTTAGAATGGTTGTGATAATCTAATACAGAGTCCATGTCGAGCCAAAAATAAAATTGAAATGTGAACTGGGATTTTATTCACATGATCTTACTCTTTTTGAACTTTTGTTGTTTGTTTGATTCTTTGCTTGTTTGATTAATGGAGTTTTTCTCATTTTTAAAAGGTCCCATAAATCTACTGATTTTTGAAGTTCTCCTGTATTTTTTTTTTGCGAAAATACTGTTTTCTATGAATGGAAAGGCCGAAAGGGAGTCAGAAACTATCGGCTCCTTTTACCCTGTTGGGAACTTCATCCCACTTTTGGGGTGAAGTGCTGTTCTCCAATCATGGGAAATTAGTGTTACCCTCCGCAAAGGTGGTGTCTTTGGTCCCTCTCATGTCTCTTCTCAGCCTTTTTTGAATCAATTCTGTCAACTTTAAAACGCAGGTCTCATCAATATTATCTATAAACCTATTATTAAGCATGGGTCCCACAATTATGCTATATTTACACCTTTAATATGTTATTTACTTCCAGACGCCATAAGCTCTTCACCTCAACACTTTTTTTATGCCCTTGGCACTTTACTTTCTACCTAACCCCTTAACATACCATCTCCAAATTTCTCATCTCATTCCAAATGAAAACTTAAAAATGTTTCTTATGCTTATGGTTATATTTCCTTCTTGTTCATTATTAACTGACAGATCAAACTATCATTTATTTATGAGAGTGCTCAAATTTGGTTAGGGCCTAATGGCTAGTATTACTTGAAGTTATTGGGTGATTGTCTTTTGGCTTTCTTTGAAATAAGCAAGTGCAAAATCCTTGTTTGAGTTGTTTCAGAATTGCATGCATATCATGGACCTTGTTTTTAGAGAATTCTTTCAAAACTGCCTGTAGATGATTCAAGTGAACGCTGTTTTGTTCTTGGAACAATTGACGCATATTTCACTGCAACAAAATTTGAGCATTGTAATAGCTTGATATTGTATTCACCACCAATCAGGCTGGATTCCCCTTTTTATTCTTATTATGGTGGTTCGTATTATAACAGAAGATGAGTCAGCCGAGGCTACCAATCAACCTGTTAAAGGGAGCTTCCTAAGCCTCCTGCCTCCTAAACTAGATGCTTCGGAGCAATCACGTAAATCCAAATGAGCTGTGCTAATCTCATTATACCATCAGATCGATACGTAACATTCGATCAGAGGTAAAATGAAGGAGGATCATTTTCTTGATGAATAGCTCCTGGATTTTGTGTTGCTGAAATAAAATTTTCAGGGACAAGGGCCCCAAAAATGAGTGGTTTGAGGTTACTAATTAGCTCGTTTTAGTTAGGTTGTTAATCTTTGTAAAATTATCTGATAGTAAATATTCTTTTGAAATTGATGTGTATTTATTTTACCCCTTTTGTCAAGCTGTGAGAAATTTGCTATACCAGACTAATACTGTGGGTTTTCTTGTAACCAATCGTTATTGAGTTGATCAAGGTGTACCATTTATACCCCATGAAAAGCTAAGAAAAGAACAAAAAGATTTCCCCTCCCCTTTCTCTAGGAGGGAACTTAAAGGCTAAGATTATTTTGAACCGCCTCTATTTTGTAATTGATGGGAAGGATGCAATATTCAACGAAGATAAAGTTGTTTTCATTATGATCTTGACAAGTGGTAACATATGATTGGAAGATGATTTAATTAATTTTTAAGGTGTAATTAGACGCTTTAAAACAAAAACAATAAGTTAAGATGAGAAAGACACCCTTGCTTGGTTCGTCATTAACTCAAAATTAATGTTCCTGAGTTCATTGATTAATATGGTAGGGAATGGAAATGAAATACCCAATGGGCCAATATTATCAAGAGATCATTTGATACCAAAGTATGAACAAGTGGACTTTATTTTTAAATAAGAGAAACTGTAAGATAAGAAACACATAGAGAGGATGTGCATTAAGGTTGGTTGTTTTCTTACTTGATGGAGGGAAGGGAGAGAAAAAAAAAAAAAAAAAGGAGAAAAAGGTTGGTTGAGGTCTTGAGGTTCGCCCAAATAAAGGAAGTTGAGTGTAAACTTTTTCTTGATAAATGAACAGTAAACATGAAATCTATCAATTTACGAAAAGAAAGAAGGAAAGAAAAAACATTTCGTCGTGAGAAGATGACTAGAAAAGAAAACATAAACGATGGTAAAACTGTAATTAACGAGAAAAGAGGGACACATAACCGACTAAGCCCCTTTTTGTATATATGCGGAATTGACAAATTGCATTTTTCACCGGTTGAAAAGAGAGAGAGGGAGAGAGAGAAAAAGACTATCCTCCTTAGCTAGTCTGCTCTGTTAGCGATTTTCTGTTTGGACATTGACGTTGCTTTCCTCTGTAATCCAAGATGCAGGTAAGTGAATCTTTCTTCAATTCTCTCTCCTTTTTTTACCTTCCATCGTATTTTCTTCTTCCGCAAAACCCTAGTTGCTACTTCCCCTTCCAATAATTAACTAATTAATTATTCTCACTCACTGATTGATACTGCTTTTAATTTATGCAGGCCAGTGATAGATTTAACATCAATTCACAGTTGGAGCATCTGCAGGCCAAATATGTTGGGACTGGCCACGCTGATTTAAACAGATTGTGAGAATTTTTTTTTCTTTCATTTGTTTATATTCTTTATTAACCACCATAATGTATATATAATTTGTTGTTATATATATAAATAATTGATTATGATTTGTAAATCAATGCAGCGAGTGGGCAGTGAATATTCAACGTGACAGCTATGCATCATATATTGGTCACTACCCTATGCTTGCTTATTTTGCTTTAGCTGAAAATGAGTCTATTGGAAGGGAACGCTACAATTTTATGCAGGTTCGTCTTATAACCCTTTACTGACCCGCTTTGTGTTTTTTTCATTTCGTTACATTACTTACTTAGTAGTGTAAATAATGGAGGATTGATTAGAGTTCGATGGGTTTGTAATTCGGTGTATGAGGAAGGAAGTTGGCATTAGGGATAATCTTCTTGTTCATTTAAATGTAGGGTTTTTTTTTTCGCTAAAAATTGATCATTGCGCTAGTTAGAGGGTTCTGGTTAATGGGGTTGTAAGATGAAGATATGGTTTTTGTTTTTATGAAACCAAAGGGTTTTAAAGTTTCATGAAGTAGTTGTTGCCTTGTTGGTGCTATAATGGCTTCCTTGGGAGTAATATATCCATGGCAATGCATGGGACGTGCCAATAATCCTGCTGTAGGGTACCCATATGTTTGTGAGAGTCAGTTGCTCTTATCAGGAATGCATCCTTTAGAGGTTTTATTGCTTCACTAACCTCATCTTGTAAAGCTGTATCCCAGTTATCTGGTTGGCTATATGAGTTTTACATGATAGTAACCATCTGTTTATTGAACACAGTGTTGGAAGATTAGTTTTTTATGCCATGATTTTGGTTTAGTTTCAATGAGATCAGGCAAGCCTTTTAATAGTTTTATTTTACTCGAACCTGGTTAGGTACTGCACGTTCCTGTGCATTCAAAACATGTGCAACCAAAGTTGTGTCAATTTGTAAATGGAGGGGAATGCTGGAAGAATGCATTATATGTATGCTTCACCTGTGATGCTATTAATTTTGAGAAGTATAAGAAGCAAAAGTTTATTTTTATTTCAATTGCTAATGTAAAAGTGTGAATTATAATTTGCTTCCTATGTTAGTCTTGGCAATCACTGGAAAATGGCTTGGTGACAATTAACGTGTTTGTCATGTGTATTGAAATCTTGATTGTATGGAGACCTTGCCTCAAAGTTTTGTGATGTTCTTCTCCATGCTTATTACATATATTAGTAATGATCACCAAATGATTCTTTTTAACGTGGTGCAGAAAATGCTTTTGCCTTGTGGTCTACCCCCAGAAAGAGAAGATGATTGAGACTTGTTAAAGCTCGACCTGTGTCAATGTGAAGGATGCTGTCCGCAGAAAGAGAAAATGCTTATGCTTGTTTATGGCTGAACGAACAGTGGCCTTTTTATGACAGTGATGAGTACTGAAGTTATCATTTGTGATTTTAGACTAGTAAAAATTATGTTTTATGGTTTGGAGATTGGAGTGTGTATGTGGTCGAATTTATGATTTCTTTAAATATGATAAGCTTCCCCTTTTCAATGTCTAGTTGGTTTTCTACATATTTGTTGCACAAGACCGTCGTGATTGTTTTTGATGGTAAGATCCTCATAATTGTTGAAAACAAAATGATACAAGTGATATTTGTTGCAATTTCTGCTCTGAGAATGACATCGCCTTTTATAATGTGTAAATCCCATCTTTTTAATGTCTCCCTTTCGTTTGCAGGAAGCTTTTAAATGCTGACCACAAGATTTAAGTGTATTCACTTCCATTTGGGTGTTCAAGGTCATCCGATTGATTTTTTGTTTTTTTGGTGGGTTTTACTTCTGAACTTGTTACAAGTATATGCTATTGTACATCAGGAAGCTTGTATTGGTTCAAAAGGCAGTTCTCAAATATTTAGAATTTCTTGTCGCTGGTGAGGATGATGCTAAAATACCGGGCCATTCTCAAATATTTTCTTTTATCCAGACGTTAAAAAAGTTGTGTAGGAAAGAAGGGTGCGAGGCGTAGTTTCGAACACAGGCAATTATATAATTTAACAGTATTTATTTTATGGATTTAAACAGGCAATTATATAATGTAACAGTATTTATTTTATGGATTTAAACAAGTTTGTTACCGTTATATCTGTTATGCGGATTATAATGGTGTTTTACCTAAACAACGGTGTTATATGTTGTTATTGTTATATAATGCTGTTATTTGTGAATAACAATCATTATTTTAAAAAAATTGATTTTTTGTATTTTATTATTATTTGTGTGATATTAAACAATTGAAGTTGTTATTATCTTTTTTCTGTAATAAATTTTTTTAGAGATGTTATTATTTTGTTTAATTAGTAAAGTTATAAAACATATGTGAATCAGAATAAATTTGTTAAAAGCTATTAGCTTGCTAAAATATTCACAATATCAATTTTTGTAATTATTAGTTTACTGTTACGATAAGTTGCAATCTACAATTACAATATTATGATAAGTCTCAGTCTACAATTATAATCGCATGACCATTTTTTACAATTATGTTTATGATTTAAAATTATGGTACATTAGTGCTTTGAAAGATAAACCATGCTGTACATTGGATAGTGAGAAAAGAAAGGGGTAAAGCATTCTCTATAATAATTTTTTGTTTACACATTGTTGAAAGGGGTATGAAAAGTGTTCAAGAAAATACTATTATGATAATTATAATGTTTTAAAAAATATTATTATAATATATCAATATATTTATAATATCGATCGACACAATTATTATATTTACTATTGTGACAAGTCGTAACCCACAATTACAATTTTGCATGATGTTTTTACAACTATGTTCACTATTTAAAATTATTTGGTAAGGACGTCGTAGCAGCAGGATAAACCATGCTTCATCTTGGATGTTGAGAAAAGAAAGGAGGAAAAGCATTCTCTGTAATTAAGTAATTTTTTATCTGCACATTGTCAAAAGGGTATGAAAAGCGTTCAAGAAAATGCTGTTATGACAATTATAGGGTTATATGCACAACTTTTTTTTTTTTTTTTTTGTAATTGTTTCTTACTGTTTCGCAATTAAAAGCAACATGCGGTAACGTGAAGCAATCCCCATCCACTAATTGCTCCCTGTTTTGTATATAGGCACTAACTAGTCTCCCCCGAAATCTACAATAAAGTTAAAAGAGGAAAATTCTCCAACGCCTAAGTTCGGGTGATCGACCCTTTGACTCCCTATTTTATTGAAATGTGCCGAACTATTTGAGAGGTTCATATGGTTTATATTATCATGTAGGATAAATTATTAGAAACACTATATATTTTATATATTTAAATGACTGAAACACTCTACATACTTATTTTTTAAATATCACATTTTATATCTTAAGGTTTTAATATTTATATCAAGAATTTCTTCAGCACAAAATTTCAGGAATAAACATACATCAAGAATTTCTTCCACTTCATCCCAAAGAGATGCCCAGATGCAACTTCTTATCAAAGACAAATAAGTGATTGTGTCTGCGTCTTGGAGTGAACTTCTGGTGAACCAAGTGCTCGTAAACTTCCAGTGCAAATTTTGGCTTTCTAGCAACTTCACAAGCACCAATAGCAAGATCATAGGAGGCTGTTGAAACTGGAAGTTCAGAAGCCTTCACCTGCCATAAAAGCTGAAGAGCTTTATCCCGCAAACCGAGCTTTGGGCATGACATTCGAGCAATGTTGTATAAATGCTCATTCAATTGACAGTCTTGCTCTGTTTTTATTCTCTCAAAGAGCTGAAGAGAATCAACATGTTGATTTGCCCTATGGAGACAGCTAAATAATGCATTCCATGTATATTCATCAGGAGTATGACCCAAAGATTTAAAAATTTCAAAGACCTTAAAAGCTAGTTTTTATCTCCCCAGCTTTTCCAAGTAAATTAATCAATGCATTACAGGAAATAAGATTCGGCTTCAGCCCATGATTGAACATATTTTGGAAGACATTCAAAGCATTCTGAACCATCTCGTTGTAAGCAGCAAGTGCTAACTCACTCTGGCTACAATGAAAGGAAATGCCAACTACTAGCGAGTAAGTAACTTGTGTTCCATGAAAGCCATTTTTCTTCATATTTCTCCATATTCTCTCAGTTTCCAACCCAATCCAACCATACAAAAGTTGGAATAAACAATCATTTTCTGTCTAACAAATCCACATTAAACAAATTCACGGTTTTGAGTATTTTTTGGATTTCAAATTAACCAGTAACAAAACCATAAAACCTTATATATATATATATATATGTCTTGTTCGAAACAACTAATTAAATGACAAACAAATTGTTTTGAAGCGAAAATTAAACATCTAAAACATAAGGGTTCTTTAGAAATTTCAATTGCACATTAATTTTGTTTCAAAACAACAGATTTCTTAACGGGTTTTGCTTAGGATTAGATAAAAGTTATGTTAATTCAAAGATTTTATGAGTTAAACACATTTGATTTCAAACAATTAAAATTTTAGGTTACGAAATTCATATACATAGATTGACCTTTAAATCATCCTCCAATCGTTTTCAGTTCAACCAAATACTACAACAACAATGATAAATCAACGAAAAACACACAATAAAACAATTTATTTATAACAGATTTAGGTGTTTTAGATCCATGTTCTATATAGTTTCTCTCTCTTCAAAGAGAGAGACGAACAAGAGAGAGAAACTATCGTGAGAGTGAAAGATGGTTTGTAATGAACTGACATATAGAATCTAATTATATATATGAGGTTATTGTTATCATTTTCAAATTTACCGGATTGAAAATATATCGACAAAAAAGAGCATAAAGTAGTAATATTTAGAAAATAGGGATGCAGAGTTACCATCTAAATCCAAGATGTCATGTACTGTACTACCATTTTTAACCTATATTCTTTAATTCAAATTACTTTTTTGCTTTTAGTTCCGAAAAATATAAAGAATAAAGAATTGTGCAAAAACCATTTTTACTAGCAACGAGAGGAGAAAATCCAACCATTATATAGGTTAAAAATAGATTTTTGGTCGTGGCTGGGTGTATGTACCAAAACGCGGCCAAAATTCCAGATTCTAGCATATTTTGCAGAATCTGGCAATAAACAAGCAAGATGCAGTTTGATCCCTGATGTTTCAGCACCTCTAGTTTTATATACTATTTATTTCGGTCCTAAACCTTTCAATTACTTCCATTAACCCCCTAATCCAAATATTTATGTTCCCAAATTAAAATTGGTTGCTGTGTGTGTTGTTATTATGCTTATTCTCAATGATATAGGTTGATTTGAAGTGATTTTTTTATGAATTTTGGACGATTTTATAAGATGAATCGAGGGGTTTTTTTTTTTTTATTTAAAAAAAAAAAATCATTTCGTGGATATAGAGACTGTTTAGGTTTTATAATGATTCAGAGATGATTTTGATTTATTTTTGAGTGACTTTATGATATACTTAAGATATTTTTATTTTGAAGTAATACCCTTGTTGTTATAATTTTTATAATATCGTTTTAAATTTATTTTATATTTGTTTCTATTTAAGTTTGTTTAATGATTTTAATTTTCGACTTTGGTTATTTTATGTAAATTATATTTCCTGTGTATGCACATATATATATTTTTACACTATTTTAATTTTATGTTAATATTTTAAAATTTAATCGTGGATAATATCATAAATTTTCGCAAAATCATATTCTCATTTGTTTACAAATTATCATACCACTTTTTTTTTATTGTCAAATTTAATTTCAAACCCATCTTAAAATTTTTGACATGATTATTAATATCTATTTGATCAAAATGACTATTGATAATAATATCCATTTTAAATTATTTTTTATTTTAAGATGAGGTATATTATTAATTATTTTAATTAAAAAATTAATATTAATTTGGTAGAAACAATAGAATGAGATATATAGTATATTTTTATGTATTTATAAGATGTGCATAAAAACAATTTAACACTTATAGGGTCTATTATTATTATTTATTTTAATTAAAAAAATTCTGTTAGCAAATATATGTTTTTTTAGTATAATCCAACATCTAAATACTTAAAAAAAAAACTACTATTTGTGTTAATAAAATTGTGAATTTAAAGAAATAACTACAAAATAGATTATAAAATTGCAAACCGGGTAAGATTTTATCTTCCCTTTCCTATTTTTTATTTTATTTTATGATACTCATCTAATAAGTTCATAAAAGATACCATATATCACACTCTATCATTTCAGGTAAATCAATATTAAAAATTATTTAATTAAAAAATTAATAATATAGCTTATATTAAAATTCAAAATAATTTAAGATGGATAATATTATTAATAGTTGATTTGAATAAAATAGATATCAATTAAGAATGGCAATGGGACAATGAGGATCGTACGGCATCATTGTCTTAATTTTTTGCTTTCATCTTGTTTCATTCCACCTCATATTATCTTATACTAAATTTTAAACTATAGCAAAAAGATAATAGTCTATAAAAAAAATACAATCAAGAAAGACTAATAATTTAGCATCATATTCAATTACAAAAATATAGCTCATAATATATTAAATTGTTTTCAATCACATAAATAATATACTTAATTAAGTTGATGAAGTATTACAAATATAATTAAAAAATATAAATTCTTGCATGTCTTTATTGCTTAGAGATGATCAAAACTCACTTATTATATTAGAGATTAGTTTGTAGCCTCAAAGTTTATATATATGTTGGGTATAATTATAATTTCCAAAAGAAAGGGAGGGACGAGGCGGGGTGGGCAAATACCATTCTTGCCCCATCTTCATTCAAAATTACTATAGGACGGGGCATTCCGTCCCTTTCCCCAATCAACTCAAGGAATTTTCGTGTTGATCGAGGAGGGGAAGGGCGATTACGGCAAATCACCATCCTTAATATCAACAACTATGTTATGGCTTTTAAGATAGGATTTGAAACCAAATTTCATAATACAAAAATAGTGCGATAATTTGTAATAAAATGTAATATGGCTTTATGAAAATCTCTAATAAAATCCAATTTATAATATAATCCATTATTAAATTTTAAAAATACTAAGGTAGTGTTTGATAAAACTGAAAATTAAGTGCTAAATATATTAATTATTGAATTTTAAATGTTGAATAATTAAATATTGAATATATTATTGACAAGCTATTTGGTATTTATCGAAAATAAGTGTTGAATATAAAAAGGTTGTTTGATAAGTACTCGTTATCGAACATATTAAGACTATATATATGATAATTTTAACCTTGTAATTATAACATAATATTTTTTAACACCAATAACAATATATAGATGTATTTATGTATATAAATAAATAAATAAATATTCAATAAAAATGATTATTAATAAAAAAATTAAAAACAGTCTAAAATTTTGTCAATGATGGCATCATCTTCCACTTGCACAAAGCCATTAATGAGTGGATTCCAAGAGACAAAATTACGCATTGGCATGCCTTGAAACACATCATAAACATCTTTAACTCTCTCACACTTAGTATACATGTCCAATAAAGTGCTACCTGCGTAAACATTCCGCTTATAACCAATCTTAACCATCAAGGAAATGCACTTGTTGCCTAAAATCATGTCGATAAGCATGAGCTATCGCTTTAAGTATACTTCCAAAGGTATAGCCATAATCTTGAAAGCCACGTATTTTCATGGGTTTCAGAAAATCCTAACAAACACCCAAGTTCCTAGAATCTACATAGCCAATGATCATGGTGTTCGAGGTAACTGTATCTTTCTAGGGCATTTCGTCGAACAGTTTGCAAGCAAGATTTAAAGCCTATGAAGTCGTATTTTGAGTATCGACTCAGGATGTTGTTGGAAACATAAATATATGTAATGTTTCCTGATTTGATGGCCTGACAATGAGTTATAAAAATGTTGTATAAAAAAGAAAGAAAGCTAAGAACTAGTATAAAATTCAATAAGGTTTATTAATGTTATTTTACAACATAACAAAATTCATCTTTATAATTGAGATACTTACTTGGTTTTCTTCTAACCAATAGCTTGTTGACGATGATGGAATGAAAGTACTAATAATGGAGAAAGTCTCTTTTGTTTCGACAATGAGATAGTAGAAATTGTTTTTCAATCGGGTTATATAGTTAGAGTTATAAGAATATATGAGGATTATATAGTAATATTTAAAAAGTTTTAAAAATATTTCAACTGAGCGTGTTAATAAAAAATTTTTAATTTAAAAACTTTAACTTAATTAAGTGGATTTTGACTAAATTTAAATTTCAAATATGAGATTATTTAGATTATCAAACAAACTTTTTATATTAAGTACTATAACTTAATTTTTTAAGCTATTTAAATAGGTTATCAAACACACCCTAACATGAAAGTAAACTAATTAAAAAAACAAAAAAACATTCATATATCTAAGAAATATAAAAATTATAAAAAATAACCAAATCTAAAAATTAAAATCATTAAACAAGCCATTTTTCAAAGAAAATTATAACTTGAAACAAATCCAAAATAAATTTAAAATGATACTAAAAAATTATGAAAATAGACATATAACTTTAAAATATAAACGTATGACATATAACGTAAATTCAAACAAAAGTGAAATTAAAATCATTTTCGAATAACTATAAAATTGAAAAACTCCCTCCATTCACAATATGATTGAAACAAACCTTGATTAATCTTAAAACACTACCCAACTTTCACAAGTATCATTTCAAATCAATCCATAATGTAAAAAATAAAAATAAAAATGACATATGTTACTACCCGATATTTAGGAGACTTTCAAAAATTTATGAAAAAAAGGAAAAAGAATTAAGAGAAAAGGTTTTGGAGTCGTCATCTAGTATTAAAGGTAATTAGAAAATCTAAAACAATGACACTAGATTCAAAGACTATAAGTAAGGAGTTGGTTATACATTTGAAAAGATGTTGATCATCCAAAAACACTCTTTTTGAGAAAATGTATAATGTCAAGTTTAATCCTAAATTGTATCTTTTAAGAATTTGCTTTGCCAATTTATTCCTTAGATTTATTTCCAAGTTTGTCTATTTTCTAAGACAAATTATTA